AATACAAATTTCCAGGTTGACCTCATAGACCAATATAAACTTCCAGGTTGACCTCATAGGCCAATATAAATTTCCAGGTTGACCTCATATGGCAGATATTAACTTCCAGGTTGACCTCATGGACAAATATAAACTTCCAGGTTGACCTCATAGACCAATATAAACTGACAGGTTGACCTCATAGGCCAATATAGACTTTCAGGTTGACCCCATAGACCAATATAAACTTCCAGATTGACCTCATAGGCTGATATAAACCTCAAGGTTGACTTCATAGGCCAATATAGACTTTCAGGTTGACCTCGTAGACCAATATAAACTTTCAGATTGACCTCATAGGCTGATATAAACTTCAAGGTTGACCTCATAGACAAATATAAACTTCAAGGTTGACCTCATAGGCCAATGTAGACTTTCAGGTTGACCTTGTAAATACATGACTCGATGTAATGACCAGCAGACTACTAGAGAATTTCAGTGATGCCATCAAGACTGCTATTACAAAGCCTTTTAAGAACAACCCCTGCACAAGACAGCTTTTTCATTGAAAAAATTGTTGACATCTCTTAGTGAGGATAATTAAATATGCTTTGGTTATTGCGAAATCACCACCACCATCACATGTGTATCTTGTCTGTGTTGTTTTTTTAGAAACTTGAGATGGGTGATACTGATGATGCAATTGATCTTTTAAAGAAAACTTGTTATTTAGAACGGGATTACGATGCTGCCTGGTTTTTATTACTTGATACTTTGACTAAGAAAGGTGAGATAAAAACCCATCTCTCATCATTACGGTAATTTACATTCACAGATATTTTTTTTTAGAATTACTGTAAATTGTTCAAGTTTTGCTGCTAAGTCATGTTTGAGATTTACTATTTTCGAGAATGAAATTTCACTAACCTGATGTTCATTTTACAAAATTTCTGCGACACATTTATTTTTTGACATTTTTTAATTATTTCAGGCTGTGGTAGCTTTCAGCTGGCAATGTGTTAACCTTTTATCACCAGATTTCAGATTTTCTTGCCCAAATTTTTCAGCATTTTGTCTTATATTCTTCAATATTTCTGGAAATGAATTCTAATTTTGGAGCCAACAGAAAAAGGTGTATATTATGTGAATTAGTAATGAAAAGACAAAACTGGTGGTGAAAAGGCTAACATAACGCAGAGTCTAATGGTTCAGTGATAGAAGAATGACAAACTTTGAAAACCAAGACATGATCGTCTAGTGTACAGTGTTAATAACGTCCTGTGCAATTCACAGGTCCTGAGACTTTCATTTTTCCAAAAAAGCACAATAGCAAAATTGGCCATCAGATACTTTGGTGCAGTGCCTACACTACCCTATTCACCTATATTTAAGCTTTCAGATGATGTTTAGGTTGTTATATAGTATGCTTATTAACTTTTAGAAAATTCTAATTTGTTTTTTCAATGTTGCTATCTTAAAAACATAATTAATACGCTTAGTATCATCTTCCAACAGGAGACTATGCTGAAGCTGAACACATTGGGAAACTGGCGTTGAAAGAAATACCGCATACAAAGTCAAGATCAGTACGTGCAATATTAGGAAAAGTAGCGGCTTTACAAAACAAGTTAGAGGTGAGTATAATCATGTCCTGTTTTTTATTTACGGTGTACTGATTCCCGAAATTTCTGTGTATCGTGTGTAATACAACTCATCGTTAAGTTAATGTTCTCAAAGTTACTATGTAATTACATATAATTATCTGTTGCATTTCAGATTGCTGTTAATTATTTCGAGTCTGTGATTGGTTTGGACCCGAAAACAGAAGCGGAGGATTATTACAATTTGGGGATTATTTATAGCCTGGTGAAGCGAGAAACAGATGCCATTGAAGCGATAAAGAAAAGTCTACAAATTAAACCAAATTCTGAAAACAGTTTAACAGCTTTAAAGAATATTCAAAGCAAACTGAAGAATTAAACTTGTTTTTTACACAGGTTTGTCATGCAATGGATTGTTATATACACTGTATTGCATCTGTCCACCAGTAAAACTATTTAGCACCCTAGGGGGTATTTTTATATAACAATTTCTGTATTTGTAGATAAAAGCTATTTTATACATATTGTTCTAACTAGAAACTAGCAGTATGATTGGTTTCATAATCAGATAATATATTTCATTATATATTTCATCAAACACATTATTCAAGATTTTTGATTGTTATGCTTAACATAAACTAATAATGCAAGAGATTTACTTGATAAAAATAATTAATAAAATTAAAACACAATTTTTTTTTAACTTTGAAGATCAAGTATCTGACTTTGGATGTTCATGGCAATTTTAGTATCTTTTAATCCCGTTTTTTTATTATATCTATCAAAATATTCAGAATAACTTTATGTAATAAACTTGTTCTTGACAACAAATTGACATTTGTGTCATTCATAATAGACAAGTTTCCCAGTTACCTTAAAACTTGATCAGTTTTGTTCCAAATTTGTTGGGGTTGATTTTGTCGTGTAAACTTTCAATAGCCCATCAGAACACTGAGAACCATGGAAAGCAGCACAGGTTAGAAATTACCCCCCCCCCCCCACTCTTCACGGAAACCAACTGATGGAGATATAACTAAAACTCGACTATTGGAAGACTCCTATAAAATTTGATTTTGTGACAATATGCAATTCTATTTTTACGGAAAACTACTAATTGTGATCTTTGGTAAAAACTTTCCTTTTTGACTTTTTGAAAAACTGCTATTCACGTTTGTTTGAAATTATATTTGACAATATTTTTACTATGTCCTTGATATTGCTTTCATTATTTACCAAGGAGATGTTCTTCTTTCAGATATGTTCAGCAGAGATGTATTATCAGACAGGATGCCTGTTACATTCATTCCATATTTTTGTGTGCATCAATGACAATTGAGACAAGTGCACATTCAACTGATTTATTTTTTTTATTAAATCATGTTATAAACATCATTACAATAAAAAGTTTTAAACATTTTAAAATACCTTGTACATTTATGCATTGTGGATACCATTTTTTTTTTTGCAATTTTATTTTATAATTTATGTATGTAATACAGAGCCTAAATTACCTTTGGGGTATAAAAGTGTAACACTGTCATGTGAAACTGTGTATATACTGATATGTAATGATAGCATAAAAAATAGATTTTCCTGCTGTCTAAGTTGTGCTGCTTGTACCGGTATAAGCATAGCATATGTATATTAAAAAAAATAGCTCAAGTTCCCAAAAATTAAATATGTAAATGGTGAGAGAAAATGTTTTTATAAATTATTCTGAAACATTGAACATCTCTGTAGTGTAAATCTATGTTTGGATTTGACTGTAAAGTGAATGAAGCAGAATGTTTTCCTAACTTTGAAAATTGCAAAAATTATCAGTACAGTAGGACATGCAATGACTGAAGAATATCTTTAATTGTATTTGCAGTCTGTCGCACACACTGTCCACAGCCATGTTCCATCACAGTCGCTTCAAAGTTCAGATAATAATTTATGCTGGACCATTTACTGTGTTCAGGATAAAAACTTACCCACTAAATTTGGGGTCATTATTTAAAAGTTTAAAAACTTGCAGTATGATGACTGCAATGCTTTAAGTTTTTCACTACCACTTCTTTCTTTTCATCACAAATTCGCAAAATTATTCCCGTTTATATTCTGCACTTTCTTTCAGGAGATTGGAACAAAAATAGCCAAATTTTTTGAGTAAAAACTGAAAATTTACTAAATTTTGTCTGTTTAGAATTCATTTCCAAAAATATAAGGAAAAAGTGCAGAAAAATTTGGGTGAGACAGTCTGATGGTAAAAAGGTTAATGTCATGTACAACGATACTTGTTAAAATCAAAGACACTGGAAAAAGTGTCTTTGTTAAAATCTAAATTTAAAAAAAAAAAAAAAACATTTTTCACTGGGTCGTATTTTGATGTATGTGTACAGTCCCAGCATTTCTGTCTGTAGAAATCACTCTTACAACGTTATTTGGTTGTGGATTCTGGCTGACGAGGTAGTCTGTCAAATCTACGTTCATAGTGTGAAGTTTCTCCAAGTAGTTCAACATCTGTTCATCTTTCTTCTTATTCTAAACAAATAAATAGTACATTGTATTACAATGTAAGTATGTGATCTGATAAATTCAGATAATGGTGCAAGTACCGAATTCTGTC